GAAGAGAGCACAATCTCTTCAACCCTCTACACCACGTCATCCATCCATCCAGCTGCTTCTCCCAGTCCGGACTAATATCTGCAAATGGTGCATGGTAAAGCCGATGCTATTTAGGCATGTGCAAGACGTGCCCCAGCCACGTCAAACGCTGCAGGAAAATGGTTTGGCTCAAATGAAGACCATCTGAACCTAACACATATCGTCTGACTATCCCGTTACTTGCGCGATGGTCCCACCCCACTCGGGTGTGAAATATACGTAGATGTAAAACAGTTCGTATATGCCTGCATTTTACCACGCCGGTTATTGGTCTTTTCCGAGGCCTTTACTCGATTACAAAACAATGAGGTATACAGATCAATCACATTTATCTATACGTNCAGACCCTTGTCACCCCATTAACCCTTCATTGTCTAGATACCTTTCAATCTCGTCTAAGCGATACAAATACAAATACCATCAAGCACACACAAAGGCAAACAAATATACCATGATTCTTTATCTTGCCCGACTTCGGTGTCACTCCGTAATCGTAATGTATTTACTCATTTCTACATTGTTTTTTGAACGGCGTTTGGCAGCTGAAGGCAGCTCTCGAAGGTGTAGTAGAGCGATTTATTGACTTGATTTGGATAGACGATTGGACTTACCATCGGAAACCATGCCTTGCGCTTCTCATCCCATTCCATTACTGTACCGTCCGGGTCGACGCGGGTTTTGGTCGGAGCTCGACTCACTGCGGCATTCTGCAGCCGTATCTGTTCTTCAAACTCTTCCAGGTCATCCGGCAATGACATGAGCAATCTAAGATAAAATAACAGAAACCACCAACGGATGTTAGGTAAAGAATTACGACACCAGATAACGGAGCAGACACTGCTTCAGTCCAGCGTATGTGAACATATCATTATCATCGTCATCTTACAGTGAAGCGAACCTCGTTGATTGCTGCCAAGCTCACAATGTACACAAATTGATAAAGAACAAGAGGGAGGGATTGGGTCTACGTGGAGGGCGGAAAAGAAAGTGAACCTCTATGGTCGACACAGAATGCACAACCTAAATGTGCACACATACCTTTTCGAGCATTTCGATCTGATAAGAAATAACAACCCAAACGCCACTGCTGTTGATTAGTTGTTAATCCTTCAGTGTTTCAAATCAGCGAGTTCCAGAATCTTTCAGACTCCAACGTGAAAGGCAGGAGACACCTAATCGTCCTGTGTACTTGTTCACGCCTCTATTCCATCGGTTGAACTCCACGTGGTTCTCTCCAAGCTGGAGCCTTAATTGCAAATAAGGTGCGGCGAGGTAGACGACAGCTGGGTGTGCGCAATACGTGTCCTAAAGAGAGAAGCCTACTAATCTGGACTCCATGTTATCACGAATTTTCTATCGAATTATTACTAAATATTCGACGCCTTACCTGAGGTGACTACACGCTCACTTCACCCAACTGCAAAACTAAGTAAACATCAGCAGGACTTGTAGACGAACATCCTTCACTCACAAATCAAGGGTCCCGCAACCGTAAAGCAGAATACAACACAGGAGGGGGCGGCATATGCAATCTGTTTCGATGAAACCACGCAACTATCTAGGTATGAAAATAAATCCAATATAACTACTTGATCATCAAGCATCAGAGCCGGGGTGGACAACATCTAATTTGTAACATCACTTCGCACTTTGAAGACGCAAAACGCATACCAAATGGAGTTGCATAACTTGAAAGTATGTAAAGAACTTTTTGTGCATCCTCCATACGTTAGAATAGAAAAACGATGTAGTCAGCGTACTCTATGTCGCACAAATTATTTCCAGCTGCTCATTTAATACCAACATTTTTTAGACTACTTAGTGCGTACTCCAGTAGTTCGCTTACGTAGCCTCCAAAAAACTTAGTATGGTCGCGAAGGGTGTCCAGAGTTGCGGCTGGTCACCCTTCCCTTGCACCTCGCAAAATGCTCCATTATTTAATTGTGAGTCATGTGCATGTCTCACTGGACCGTTTGGTTCATGGTTGCTTTTGTATTCTTCCTGTCTTGCAGATCATTTGGAAACGCCCTCTACGCAAAACCTACTGCGAGAAGTGTGTCCTACCCGTGTATTGAGAAAGTCAGTGAGTGGCCAGGGATCGTGCGGCCTTTGGTGAAGACACAAATTGTAAAAGAACTCGGACTGCGTTGCCCAGAATCAATCTGCCAATGTATCCCGAGTGGAATCAGAACTGGGGTCGGTCCGGCATACTACAAAGGTTTCTTTAAGATCAAGGACAATTCGTGTGGTGCGATTCGAGGATTTGACGCAGGGTGAAGATTAGGTCGGTGTGAGGATAAAATGAAGAATTCCGGTATTCTAAGGTTGGAAATAACTGGAGATACACGAGCGCCACTCTCAACGACACTCAGGCGTACCACTCAGTATTCCCACCTCCTGATTAATTCTTGGCGGAGCGTGTAAAATTATAGCATAAACTACAGAATTCAGAAGAGCCGATCAGCCAGGCCCATTTTGCCACTGCGGACAAGTGTATTGCATGCTTGCGGATACAGTCGTTCTGTTGCCCTACCGCCGCCTCTCGGATGGACGTTTTCAGTGTGGACCACTGCGTCAACAGTTTCATCGTCGAGGAGTTGCGCCTGTTCGAAGTTATTGCCTCTAGTAGCGCCTACCACTTCGCATTTAGTTCTAGGAGAGCGAAGCTGAATCTGCTTAGGGGGGGGGGGGTGAGTACTCTGACAAGCAATCAGGTGGACCTCGAAGAGGGAGAGTGTAGGAGTATGATCGGTAACGTTCTTGTTTCCAGTTTCTGGGTCGCGACAGGAACGGCAGTTTTCCACTGAAGAGGCTCAGTGAGCATGAACCAAGAGGTACTGGCCACCGTGGATATAAGATCTCTGAATTGATGCTTTAAATGGGGACATTAATCCTGAAATAGTCACCGGCGGAAAAGTACTTTCAACAGGTGGTAGACAGCTTTGTTGTCATCCGGTTCAATACCACGCCTAACCTATCGGGGCCTTATGTGGTTCACCACTTCAAGTCCCGGAGCTTCGGCTACTGGTTTCCATGACGGAGCAGCAGGTCTTCGTGACTACGGGGTTCACCCTGTCTGCTGTTCACCGCACAAATGTGTGTAATAAAAAAACAGGTACAAAGTCTCCGCTTGAACATGCTGCCCATACCTACTTTCAGGGATGGTTACTCATTCTTGATCTGGAAGTTGACGAAACTCCTGGTGAGTCGATCCTCTTATCGATCTACAAGGAGACAGATCCTCTTGTAAAAGCTACAGAGGAATTCTTTTGATCAACGAAGTCTCCAAACTTCACAAACCAATCAAGGAACTTTCTCTGTTTATAAAGATCATTGTGCCATGACTTGTGTGGCACACAATCAGGACTTGGACGCGTGTGAAATACACATAATACTCGGGCATTATATTCCTTCGATTGTCTTCCACATGTAAACCTTGTACGCGTGAGAGCCAGGCTGAGTTTACACCGGTTAGAGGTTCTATCAACAATTCTCAACAATCGCCAAATCCTGGAAAACACTCTTTCGCAGACCCGCGATATCTTTCATCTTTCGTCTGAAGGCCATCATAACGAAACTGCACCTGGACGGTTTTTATTACACATGATGTGAATTACAGGGGAAAAATCCCCTTAGTTAAAAAGCATACTGTAAAGCGGAGAGCTAAGGAACATTCACGTAAGATCCACCTCACCAATAAGAGAGTGAATGATTGTAAGTTGGGAGAAAGATATAGAGTGGGAGTGTGTTCCAAAGCCTGACAGATTGGGGAAAAAAGAAGACTGGAGTAGGGAAGTACATTTAGTGACCGGAATCTGATAAGGATGACTAGATGCCAATGTAAACGATAGGGGGACAAAAGTAACAGGAGGCACTACTGAGGCAAGCTCCGAAGAACAAAAACCAAAGCAGTAAAGGCAGGCAACGGACAGTCCAACGATGGGTTAATGACTATAGATTGGAAGGTGGGGAAGGATCATCAGTCAGCTAAATGGCCTTTGATCAGGGCAAAGAGCAGAAGACGAAGCCCCATCTCAACGTGACTGCAGCATTCAAGTTCAGGGCGGATTTGAGTGCCACACAGTAGGAGATAAGCTGAGTCGCAGTGTCTGGCGCGGAAAAACCAACCTCACGCACAGTACGAAAAACTACTTGGGATATAAACAGGGGTTAGGCTAAAGAATAACCTATAGGTAATCCAAGAATAGGTTTAGTTTATGGAACGTAGCTGGCTGGGAACAAAAGATAAGTGTGAGGAGAATGAATGCTGTTTGAAAGACATTGTAAGGAAAGACATTTTGGAAGTATTGAACGCAACATGGTTGCCACAGCCCAAGAAGGAGATGCGTTCGAGATCTAGTGACAGATTACCTACAATACGGTTACGATCGATGATTTAGGAGGGGGGTGGAAAGTAGTGCAGAGGAAGAGGGAATGGCAGAGGATGACATCATCGGCAAAAGAATGAACTGGAGTTAACAGTTTTGGTACCTAGTAGAAGCGGCGGTAGAAAGTACTGAACTTCAGAAAACTGCAGCGTTTACATGGAACGCGGGAGATAGACAACCATCAAATCGGACGAAGATGGGTCCCTTACAGAGTGAACTTGAAATACACGATGTGAAAGCCGGAGTGAACCCTAAATGGGCAATTTCGCTAGTGGACCTTCGTGCTAAACTCGATGGAAGGCCTTTGAGAAATCAAGTGTTTCTACGCGGTTATCAAGTGCAGCCGACCAGAATTGTGTGATAAGAGCCAGTAGACTGCCGGAGAAACGATGCTACCGGAAACTAAACCTTCACTTTTGAGGAATACGCTCACCTGGATGGAGATAATTGCTTCAAATACTTTTGAAACAACAGATGATCGAGGAATGGGTCGAGTTATTGGGGTCAGGTCACCACGTTTAGGAACGACAAAAATCACGGTTGAAAAGGTAGAAACTTAAGTTTCTTCGCCTCCAGTTGGAAGCAAAGGTTGAAAAACGACGTAAAATGGCAGCCAATTAGGGAGCACTCATTTATGGACGATGGGTGGAATACCGTCCGGAACGAATGGGTTATCTGCATTTGTGAAGCACAGTGACCGGTGAATATTCTGTGTTAATGAGATAGAAAATGATTACCAGTGCAATACAAAGGTGGAGGAGTAGGAATAAGTGGACAAGGTGGATTTGGCGGGGAAGTGAAACCCTCCGCTTTCTCGTGCCAACTACGCGTGTTGACATAAAAAATCACCAGGGGAGTAACAGATAGGGAGAATTTGGAAGGGGAGAAGTCAAAGGGAGATCACATCGGCAAGAGACCAAAAGGGTGGTGGTGAGGCAATTTAGTTACCCTCACCACTGTGGTTTGAACAGTATGGTTTGAGCCTATCTGCTATCACTCAACTTCGGTGGTAGGCAGCTTTGCTATCGTCCGGTTCCATACAACACAGCCTAGCGGGGCCTTATGTGGTTCGACACTCCAAGGCCCGGGATATAGGTTACCGGTCTCCATCATCGAACGGCAGATCTCGTTACTATGGGCTTTCCTCGACCGTTATTTATTACACTACATTTTATAAAAAGCTGTTTGTGGGCCGTTGGCTGTGCTTGATTAAGTTTTGCCATTTTTAGCGGATAAGGCGTTTCTTGGTTCGATGGATCACTTTTACTCACCTCTTCACTATAAACTGAACTCGCACGAAGCGATTGAGAGTTTGAAG